AAATCTGCACAGAAAGCGCCGGATGACAGACAGCTGCCTCACCGCGGCAAGAAAACTCCGATCATAGTTAAAGACTGCCGATACACCTGGTATGACTTGATGAAAATACTCAAGTCACACAATTTCAGTGAGAACGAATACAGAGCTGAAATGATTAGAGATGAGATTAAAATACTAGTGCCAAACCTCATCATTTACAAACAGATGGCAAAATATCAAGATAAAGGAGTTTACTTTAACTCATTCCCGTTACCCGAAAGTAAAAATATAAAAATGGTTATTCGAATCTTACCCCCACTACATACATTGAGACAGAAGATGTACACAGAACGAGCTAATTGAACTCGGGTTCAAATTTGAATCTGTACATCAGCTCACAAGAAGGAGAAACGGTGATATAACTAAGCTCCTGCTCTTCCTTGTAACTCTTCCAAGGACTGAGAAATCTAAAGAACTTAATCAAGTGGATTTATACCTCCTTCAGATGAGAAGTTAAAGTTGAGCCCTACAAAGGACGTGCGTGAACCCCTGCAATGTTACAGATGTCAGGGGTTCTGTCACCACACCCAGACGAAACTGTAACCATTGAACCGAGATGTGTCCGATTCAGACAAGAACATGAAGCGACGCAGTGTGAAAAACCGCACTTCGCATCAACCTCTGCAAATTGTCAAAGAAGCACATACAGCTCGACTTTCGTGGCTGTGAGAAGTTCCCAAAACTAAAGGATACTCCCAAAACCATGACTTAACGTAGATAGATTTGTGACAAACAAATCTCATGCAAGCGCTGTATCAGAAGGACTTCCTTTCGATAAAATTACTGAGGCCAAACAGGTTTTAAAAGGCCTTACGGATCTGCTCTCGATAATCCAAGAATCGGGAATTCTTAGCATCAACTCAATTATGAAAAAAGATTCAGGTAAATACTCGTTGCGTACAGAAAATAATGGACCAGCTAACAATTAGATGTGCCCCGATCCGCATCATGATATGGAACGCTTGTGGTTTGCACAGCAGAGTTCAAGAGCTGCAACAACTTGTTTATAGATTATAATGATATAGTCATAGGAATAATTATCGAGACACATGCTTCCGCTGGGACAGAGACTGGCAATCCCAAACTATGCGTCTTACAGATGCGACTGAATCACTCACACCGCGGCGGAGGAGTACTCATCTATGTTAAGAGGTGCTACCAAATTCCTGTTTAATTAATGATTTAAACGGGGAACAAGGACTGGAAATTGGTTACTACTTGTGTCACCTTCTCCCTTCCTTCAAGCAAAAGTCTACTTTCGTGCTGTATACAATGCGCCTAAAAGCAAGCTCTCGCTTCGAACATCCTGAACTTCTAGCAGAACTTCTACCAGGAAGGACACCCCCTCGTCATTGCTGCTGGCGACTTTAACGCCAAACACAGAGACTGGCTGTGCAGAAAAGTAATGTTAACGGAAATACTATCCACAACTTTGTGCTGAATAACCCCGTGATTCTCCGTGTACCAGAGGAATACACCTACTGCCCAGGCAACTCTACTTATTCAAATATCTTGGATATATTAATTACAACAACTTCCATTCCAATAGCGATGGAAGTAAAACACGAACTAAGCTCTAATCACGTACCAGTAATTGCAGTACCCGGAGTCGCCAAACCTGAGTCACGTGAGCTTAAAACTGTCATTGATTGGACACTTTTCCAAAACTTACTTTTGGATAATCCTCCAGAAATTGGATGTTTAAAAACTAAAAATGATATTGACTAAACAGTTAAAACTTTCACTTCTTCAATACAGAGAGCGCTTGAGGAAGCCTCGGAAGTTGTACCGGCTTCTGAAAAAATTCTCAGACTCCCTGTGCACATCAGGAATGCGATTCTAGAAAGAAACTGGCTTTGTAAGAAACACATCCTGACATGGGACCCTGCCATTAAACGAAGCATCAACAAGCTTAACAGGGAAATTAAGAAGCTAATCAAAAGCCATAAGCAGTATATCTCAGAACAGCGCATGGAAAGTTTATGTGTCACTGATGGATCCTTATGGAGCACGATTAAAAAAATTCAAACAGAAATATTTCTGCAATAGACCTATCTACAGTAATGATCAAATTTTCGTCACTAACGAGAAAAAAATCTAAAGTTTTTGCAAAATTTCTCCAAGAGCAGTTCTCTCCCAACTCCTGGTCTGCTGACAGCCATTCAGAATCAAGCACACTTTTCAAGGTCGGCGATTGGCTGAATGCTTCTGCTGCATGTAACATCCCAACTCTGACATCGCCTAAAGAAATTAAAGAATTAATCAAACGCCTAAAAATTAGAAAAGCTTCTGGTAAAGATGGAATCTACAACTCAGCTATCAAAAATTTTCCAATGAGCAGAGTCACCAAGTTTTCCTCCATCATCAATGCTTGCCTCTTCAATTCATATTTCCCTAAGAATTGGAAACAAGCAAAAATAATCATGATCCCGAAACCTGGCAAAGATCACAGTAAGACTGAGAGTTACCGTCCTATCAGCCTTTTGCCAGGGCTAAGAAAAATCTTCGAAAGAGTGATTCTGCATAGAATGCAGAAATATTTTCACCTACTCCCGCCTGAACAATTTGGATTCCGCCAGCAGCTCATAAGAATCACAGAATTTGATGGAGCTGCGCTTCACTCAAAGCTTAATGTTGTGCTCCTCATGCTTGATGTGGCCAAAGCTTTTGACCGCGTCTGGCATGAGGGGCTCATCTGTAAACTGATGGACCTGCAATTCAACCGAGAACTTATTCTGCTTCTGCACCCCTTTCTATCGTATCGAACTTTTCATGTTATTTCCGCTGGAGTCCCGCAACGTTCAACGATTGGGCCAATTTTGTATTAATATTACGTGGCAGACTTCCCCAAGACTCCAAACAGTGCATACATGCTAGTGTGTTATGCTGATGACACAGCTTTAGCTGTCAAATCAGCTAACATTAACCATGCAATTCGGAAACTGCAAGAACAGATTCCTTTGATCGAAGATTGGTGCCGCTGCTGGAAGGTAGCCATTAATCTGCAACAATCTCAGCTCCTGATTATCAGAAGGAAAAAACGAAATGCTGCTCTGAGAAACAACCTGTTCTTCGGAGAGCCCGTACCTATAGTGAAACGGGCAAAATATCTAGGAGTTCTACTGAATGAACATCTCACATGGAGTGATCATATTAATTATGTTAGAAAAAAGGCACTTTGCGTCATGAACTACTACTACACCCAGTCATTGGCAGGGACTCGAGAATAGATCTGGCTAAGAAGAAATTGATTTATACGTCTACCATCTGACCCAATCCTAACAAATGCTTCTCTTGCCTGGGCGACTGCAACAGACAAGGATATATGTTAGCTACAAATTGTCAAATTGTGCAGTGTAGATTCCTCAGAATAATGACTGATGCACACTTTTATGTGAGAAATGATCAATTTCACTCTGACTTAAAAATTGAGTATATATACAGATTCCTGAGAAAGGCTAACAATCGGTTCTTCTCTAACTCCATGAACTGCGAAACTCTGAACTATTTTGGTTCGTTTCATTACGAGTTACTTAACGAAGACCGCTACCTTCGACCCTTTGCAGCTCATATGCTGAACCAGAACTTTCCCACTTGATATGGAAACTATAGTTACAAATGGACTTTTCTGAAACTTCACAAAGTTTTCAAATAATGTAAATATTGTACACAGCTTAACTTAGTTTGAACTTTCTTGTAGTTTGCTTTAGCAATTCAAGAAGTATACAAGATCCTATCAGATGACTTCTCCTCATCACGTAACAGTGCACACCTAACTGCAGGCTTTGCGGACCAAATCAAATGAAATGCAACAGAATTGCTGCTTCTTACGTGACAATGGTCACGCCCCTCTCTTCTACCTTCGTCTTTAGGCCCAGCCAGGGATCATTAGTTCAGAGCTTCCATCGTCATGTGTCGCATCGACATTACATCAGAGAGCCGGAACACGTCATGTTTTCTCGCACAATAATCATGGCATACAAGTAGAGCAAGGAACAAGGACAATACAATTAAATTTCACACATGTCAGTTTGACAATTTTACTATCTATCTCCATGCCTGGTTGGCAATAACAAAAACAATTTTTGCCAGTTTGGCGATACAATTTAGATGTAATACGTCGTGATGACGTTATTATCTATCACACGCCTGGATGGCGAAAATTAAGAAATAACTTTTGCCAGTTTGGCAGTAAAATAAAATCACACTACATCAGTTTCACCTTACTACTTATTTTCCAAGCGTCTGCTTGGCAACAAATTCAAAAACAAAGCTAGCAGTTTAAAATTTTTTATTTATATATATATATAAATGCCGGTATGGCTTACACATATCAATTATCAACATAAAAATTCAATACAAATAACAGTAAAGCCTAAATAATAATTTTTTAAATACTTCTTTACCAAAAATATCAATTAAAATTTCGACCTAATATTTTTAGTATTGGTTATTTTACACAAAAACTTACACTATTTAAATATAATTCTGAAATGAAATACTTAAATTCAATAAACACTTTTTTATGAAACCAAAAGTTAATCTTATCTTAGGAGATCAGCAATATCCTGTTCTGTTAATTCTTTGCTCCGAAACAAGTTATAGAAACATAGAAGATAACCTTTGAATAATCCGCTTCAAAATCTGGCTTTGTTCTCAAAATTTCAGCAATTTTCTGAAATTAGGAGACCAGCACCATAGAAATTGATAACTGCACTCCTAATTTCCAGAATCTCAGTAGAACCTCCAATTTTATAAGACTGTAACGTATTTTGTAGTTTTTATCGATATAACAGATGAGCTAATTTGTAAAACATAAAATTTTATTCTTAGTTTACAGAGATAGATAAGTTGAATAGTCTTTTAGTTACAAATTTTTCATACAACTACTAGCTGGTAAAACTTTCAGAATAAAAATTTTTAACAATTTCAATTATGTGATACAAATATGGCGTTGCCACTCCAATATCAAAGGATAATAAATATACTTATTTGTTAAATAATAAAATATTACAATATGAAATAATATTACCTGTAATATAAAAAATAGCTGCCAAAGCTTCTACACATGATAATTGGCAAGGCTTGCCATAATTTACAGGGTTGGCAGCAACGAGGTAAGGAAGAAGACGCATATGTTGACCCTTCATTCTCTGAAAAGGAGTATTTTCTATACAAGCCCAAGAGCAATCAACCACAGCTGCACCATGCTCATAAATAATATCTCTGTAAATTAAGATTTAAATATAATTTTTCATGCATTTGAAGTATAAAAAGTATTATAACATCAAAATATTTATTTATATCAAAGATATCATTATAGCAATAATTTTCAAACAAATACAAATTTTCAAAAATAAGGAAATTTCACATCTCTTACATTTTCACATAACTGAATGCTGATGATTTTGGACCTTCTTATGAAATAATGTAGTATTTACATATCTTTCATTTCTTGCATTTATATAATGGTTAACTATATTTTTTTTTTTGTATTTGTAACAATAAAAATGAATTTGAAATTATTAAAAAATAAGAACACAAAATACTTTAAGACGTAAAATAATATATACATAGTACATATAAATCTCATGACCACATGAAAGTGGCCATGCTACTCATAGGATTGAAATTTTAACATGTTTATTTACAGTTAAATTTTGCTTCATGAAATTAATTCATTCCTGAAGGCTGTTCATCATTTGAGATGCTCCTAAAATAAAATTTTTCCCCACAACAATTAATGTAAAAGAATCAACTCATTTCTAGGCCATACATGGTTGGTTATTTAACTTTACAACAGTAATCTGTGCACAAGTTTATAACGCAAAACCAATCGAAATATTAAATATAGGAATAAAAATGAAACAGACAGAATATATGAAAAAATTATTTTATTGTATCTGTAAGAATGAGAGTGGACAGTATAAATAGATAATGGCAAGGGAGATATTATCGTTTGGATGCAAAATATCCTTCCATAAAAACATCACTTTAATGCCTTTAGGAGCACCTTCTTTTATTTTCTTCATGCTTTGTTTTTTTCTTTGCCTGGACTCTTTCCTAGACTCTGCTTGAAACACAGTGGGCTTCTGTTTCATTCAAAATTTACCTAATATGATTATTGTTACCTACATTTTAAAATGTTCCTGAGAAAATTAAGATATTTCCCCTCCCCCCCCTCTTCTTATGAAGGCATTTCTTCCACAATTGTCCTTTGTTACTGCTTTTAAAACTGTTGTAGCATTAATTTTTTTGCAGCTTTCTTTTTTTGTTTGTTCTTGTTTTAATTTTCATGGTCCTCTAGTAGTTACTTCTCAACATTATCATTAACTTCCTAGGCCATGGTTTTGCTTAGATATACCTTACCATAGATAACAAAAAAGTCCTAAGTTTCAAAGCACTCAAAATCTCTACCTGCAACCCAGTCTGGCCTTAATTTCTTCCAGCCCGAATTTATTATACTGTTAGTCGCTGCCAGCCTTTATTTATGACAGTTAAGTAATAGAAAATTAATTACATAATTTATCAGTTTAAAATGGTGTTTATAGGAGTTCCGAGTGTTAATTAAATAGCCTGATTTACCTGAAACACTTTTAAAAGTTACGGACTTTAATGTTCATTACCTAAAATAATGTTTGTGATCTGAGATAATTTTTTGTTCAGATAATTTGTTGACGAACTGAAGCATTCATGATCTGAGCTTTCATTGTCTTTGTGTCTCTGTGAATGCATATATATATATATCATTAAATATATAAATTTAAACAAATTCAAATTTGAACATGTACACATTAAATATATATATATAAAACTGTAACAAATTAAAATTAGAAGTTTATCTTACATATATAAACATTTAAGATAAAATCCTAAATTTTTAATAGTCTCTTTAGTCTCATTTTTAAATTTGGCTATTTCTCCTTTCTATCCTAAAAAGAATAATAAGCTTAAAATTGTCCTTTTAAAGTGCATCATTTCAAAATTAATCATTGTCATATCATTATTCTATATAGAACTAATGATGGATATACTCATATAACACCAAAAGTAAAACTAAGATCTTTTATTGAATTTTAATTAAACCAAAACTTTAATTAAACCAAGAGCAATAAAATGATAGCAATTGCTCTGCTGAGAAATAAAGTTAAGTTCACCTATATTAATCTAATGTTAATAGCATAAATCCTGGCATTTCTCATAATTGGCTTTATATATCTAATATCATGCCAGCTGCTTCTCTTTATGACTAAATATGAGAATACATGCTTATAATTATGGGCATTTATGCACATATTTAACTATGTATATTTTCAAGAATGTTACAAAAAGAGTAAAGAAATGTATCAACCGGCTTATAATTGCATCTTTGAGGTAGGGAAAAATACATCAAAACCAAAAATGAAATTTATATCTTTCGCTGTAATATCATCAGGGAGTTGGTGATTGAAAGAAGTAAATAAATAAAATGGACAAATGGCCTATTTCTGAATTGACAAAGACACAAATTAATGTTTAAAATTATTAAGTTCATGGTTGTTGCAATGATACAACAAAATTTAAACATGCCTAGTATTTTCGTGCATTAAGCTGCAGAAAAATTATCATTAAAGACATAAAGAAATTTAGAACCAATTTTTCACAAAGACCAAAAATTAAAATTCATAATTAATAAATTTCAAATAATCTTATAAATGCAACAAAGAATTTAAAAAATTTAAAATCAAAACTTTTTAAAAAAGCAAAACCCCATTAAAAATCAATGAAATTTAAAGAAAAATGAACAAAAACAGAAGAGGAATTCAATCAACTTCAATGCTACTTCATTGGGTGGATGGGGGGAAACATTGAGATCAATCCAAATCTCTCTTCTACAAAAATCCTTGCTTTTCTATATTTAGAATTAGCCAATAAACCATTTCAAAGTTTTTTAATTATAATAGTTCACCCGAAAGTTCCTCTTTCCCAAAGCAAGGAAAAAACAAAGTAAATTCGAATTAGAATCTTGAACTTTAAATAAAGAGAATTCTATTTTATATAAAAAATTGAAAACGACAGTGAAAAAAAAAAAAAAAAAAAAAAAAATTACTTCAGTGAAAAATTTAAATCAAAATGTTTACAGTTGTTTAAACAGATAATACAAAGAATAAGGTGCAAGTGAAATAATAAAATATAGTTGAAAAGACCTAATTAAAACACACAAGAAGTAATTAAAAACTTCGAGCACTCTCACTGGACACCAATCTAAACTATGGGATGTGGTACAGAAGTTTATTAGTAGAAAAATTAAAATCTTTTCTTTTATGAAAAAGTTTAATTTCTATTAGAGTATGACTACTTAGATCAAGATAAACTATTTCTGTTAGTTATTTATTGATCTTAAACATAGGGGTCCTAAATTCTTCTACCAAGCACTTTCCCTAAATTTTGCGGCCTGGTGTGGCCATACGAGCCCTGGCACTGGTTCTGGGTTTATGCGAATAACAAATCAGTTACTCTTAATTCAAACAGCACTAAATGTAATCTTTTGGCCCTATGAGTATCATTATGAAAATCTATTTTTAGCATATGGAAAGAAAATTTTGTTAAAATTTTTCCTGGTCAACATTTTCTTAAGCACATTTATCTTAAATCTGTCATCAATGCCAAGCATAATGTCAATATAAGCGGCTACCATACTTTTTATTATTCAGTTACTAACATAAAAAAATTGTTTAGCCATCGCTACATGAGTCATTACTAAAGTTGTCATGTATTGATAAACATGTGATGATGAAAGCAAAATATGATAAATAATGATTAGCCAGAGTGGCATCAGGGATATAAAATATTAATGCGTGTAAAATCAACTATGTTATAAGTGTAGAATGTTTCGGTTTGAGATATATTACCAAGCAGACATGCAGCAATGGAGCCAAATTATTGTTAATACAAATTTATGCTAAAATCATTGTTTCTTCAATAACGACATATTTTATTCAGAGCCTAAGTGAAATTAAGAATCAGGACTCTCCACGTGTTTTATTATGAGCAGGGGGAAGGAAATAAAAATGCATGTGTAAAGAATACAATAAAAAAAGGTTGGTGATGGCTTTGAGGTCCGGATTTTAGACCATTCTGGATATTGGACATCCGGATCTTGGACTTTGTACTGTGCTAAACAAAAGTACAAAATAATCATTCATATTATAAAAAATTAAATATTTCATGTGAGTCAGCAAATATAATTGGGATAAAACTAAATTCCTTGCATAAGAATAAAACATCATAAATATAAATATTTACATAAAATATTTTTTGCATTATACTTAAAATAGTTCATGTGCAAATATAGATTATATTTGCCAAAACTTGTCATACAGTTTTGCCATACTTGGAATATATCTATATGCAAATATAATTTTTAATCCACATACTTGTTTGCATATTATTACTTTAGCTATAACTTTTTCTCTCTGTGTAATATACAGCCTTGGATGGCATGATGTGTAATACAGCTCACCCATCATACTGCTGGACTAGATTTTGAATTCCAGATAAACCCAGTCAAGAATATTTGCATTAACTCAGGGTTGCTACTCAAACAGGAGAATAGAAAACAATAATTTTTCAAAACAGCAGCACACTAAGAATTCAATACAAGAACAAACAATCAATGAAATTAAAAAAGCAAGAAATATCAGTAATAACCCCCCCTTTTTTGTGCTGTTGTTCTCTTTATGTACAGAGATCTGTTTCTGTTTAAAAAAACATCACAGAATTAACACAAACTCAGTATCTATACAATTTGGCACTGCACACCAGCCAAAACAGATGTATGCTATGCATATAGCAGGGTTACAAGATAAATACTTTTGGTGGCATTGTGGGTCACCATATAAGTATATTGGTGACTGATTGCTTTCTCTCATGAATACTTTTCCTTGACTTTTTGGCAGGGGTTCAGATAATCAGAAAGAACCAAAGAAATTAATGGAAATAAAACACCATACACTTTACTTTTAAAACATACTGAAATAGTACAAAAAATACACAAAATTAGATATGTTTTTTTGTTATTCTTAGTTCAATTATAAATAATATTTATGTTACATTTTTACTTTAATTACTATATATATAATTTTATTACTTTATTTTAAAACTGATAAAGATTTACTTGTCTTGAGGTCCAACACAAATAGATGCAGCAGGAGTTAATATAATACCATTGAATCTTTGTCCTAATCTTAGAGTTTTTATTAAATTTAAGCGAGACAGCTTTCTTCCAGAGCATTTTTTGGGATCACATTGTCCTAAATCCCACATGGCAACAGGAAAAGGAACATCTATTTGGTGTTTGTAATCTTCTGGTAGCTGCAAGCATGATTCTAGAAGAACAAAGAAGCAAGAAATAAACAACAGCATTAAAATAACCTTCAACATGATTTTATAAGCACTCTTAAATTTAATAAACAAATTTCCCCCTATAAGAAGCATGAACACAATATACAGTACAAAGTCTGAAATATGATCCTCCAAAGTCTGGAATGATCTAATATCTGGAATTTTGGAACCCCAACCAAAATAAATAAATAAATAAAATAACGTAAAATAATTTTAAAAAATACCCTTTAGAGAGTCTAGGAATGCAGAATATAATAACAAAAGGAAGTGAGGTATGTATGATTTTTCTGTGAACAAACTGAGATGCCACTTTCAACACCTGCTGGCTAGAAAGTTGCACCATGGCCAATACCAAAGCATTAACTGATCGCACTTTCAGCTTTTGAATGGTTGTGACCAGCCCTATACATTCTGCACTCTGTGCATCGCCGTCCATGATGATTGGCAACATGTGATTTTGCATATCTCATATTCACTAAGTGCAGAATGCATAGGTCTAGCCCTATGCATTCTGCACTTAGTGAAATCTCTGCAAGTCTTAAAATCTGTGGCCTGGTAACATTCTAAATTATGAAAATTTTTCCATCCCTTAATTCCTAATTCCTTTCCTAAATTAAAAAAAAAAAAAAAAGTCATGCCTTATTTTTATTGTTTGGTGCTCCTTTAAATTCTAAACTTTTTACTGCACCTAAACTCTGACATCTGCCTTGGCCTCACTGATGGGGTGTTAGCATTTTTTTAAAATCTGACCTAAACAATTCAAGTGAAGCCAAAATCTTGCCATGTCTACATGTTACCTTAGTAGATTTAAACTAATGTTCTAAAATCCAGAAATATCAGAAATTGTCCAGATGTTTTAAGATTATACAAGTAGCAATTTAGTTGCATTGCATATAATATTAAATGATATACTATACATTCCCAGGCTAAAAATGAGCTTAATTTCAGTTCACTTAGTGATGATGCAACATAAATATAATGTTTATTTTATAAATACCTATGCATATGTTAAAGATAAACATGCTGTTTCGCAAGCAACAGAGCAAAATGAGCTGTATGTTGCAAATCAAAGAGACTTACATGAAGTTTCAAATTTTGTACAATTTAATACGAATACTCAAAGTATTAAACTGAAGTTATTGCACAAAAGTTGTGGTCACTTGAATTTAGCAGATTTTAAAGCATTATATTTTAAAATGATAGTACTACAGAGTCAAAAGATTCCAAAATGTAATAATGAATCTTTATGCTGCAGAATGTGCATAAAATGTAAACAAGTTATGTTATCTTTATCAAACTAGGCAGATATTTATGATCCAATGAAAGTCACATCCTTATATGGTACAAGATATTTCATAACATTCATAGATGACAAGTCATGAAAAACTACTGTATATGCCTTATGAAAAAGTTAAAAAGCCCTTCAAGCATATAAAAAGTAACAATTACAGGCAGAAAAAGAGACTAAACAAATTAAAATTCTCCAAAAAGAAAAATCACTGGTATTCATAAACCATAACTTAAACCAATTTCTGGAAAGGGAAGGCACGAAATGCCAGTTCTCAGTCAAGTACAGACTTCCACAAAACAGAGTTGCAAATCAAACCAGCTGTACCCTAACTAAAATGGCCAGATGTCTATTATTTAAGTCAAACTTGCTCCAGGAATCATGAGCAAAAATAGTATCTACAGCTGCTACCATACACAATTAATATCCCGCTTAAAGTAAATCCAAATGAGCTGAAGAAATTTGGTCTGGAAGAAAACTATTAAAAACTAAAACTTAGTCAGGAAAACTCAAAAGCTAACAAAAAAATAATTTATGGAGTTCCATTTTTGAACAAGAAATTAAGAAGCAATAAGAATACTGAAATGTTCAATGAAGGGAAAGCAGACATTGAAGAAAATGAAATTCGACATGTAAGCTATGAAAGAGAAGGAGACTTGAGTTTTTGAAAACAGAATGGGCAGATCAAGCAAAGTCTGTCTGCAAAAATGTGCTACTTTAGTGAACTCTGAGTATTTTGCAGACCCAGAAGCTGTAGAAGAAGTTTTATCAAGATCTGATGCAGAAAATGGAAAGCAGCGCTGAAAGATAAATTAGCTAAAAACAACACTTGAGAATAAATCTACCTATTAGAAAACTGAAAAGCTGTTAGCTGCAAAGGAGTGTTCTAAATTAAGTAAAAGGTGGACAACACTGTTCATTGGTATAAGGTTAGATCTGCTGCCAAAAGAATGTTCACAAAAGTATGGAACTGATTATACTGAAACTTTTTCATTTATAATTAATTGTAATTCTATATATATACATTCCTCACATTGAGTATGATGTGATGATAACATCAAATGGATATTCGAACAGCTTATTTATATGGAGAAATTGATGAAGGAATTTTCTTACCCCAACTAAAAGGTTTTGTAACTTCAGAATACAAAGTCTGCGTCCAAAACGTCAATTTATGAAACAAGCAAATGTAAAATATTTCCCCTTTATGATCTGATAATTCTGAAGAATTGACATATATTTTATCATTTATACCACAGCATTATCAAAATAAATAAATACATAAAATAAAAAATAAAATAATACAATGTTGGACAATTAAATGCAAAATAGCAGTTTAACTTGGTATACATAATATATGTTTGTGAGGAGTCGTATAAATTTAATAGCCATATTACTACATTTACATATCACTTATTATAGATATTACTACATACGTAACAACATTATATTTTAAATGGTTCAGACTTACCTGTCTCTTGAACACTCAGTTCACTAAAGCAGTCTTCCACATTTTGTTCTTCAGAAGCTTTAAAACTTCTTTCCCTGTTGCGATTCGACTTTTCTCTTCTATTAAATTTACTTTTTGATTTTGATTTGTTCATGTCTTCCTAATCTAAAACAAATGATAATACCTATAACATAAATATTAAAAAATGAAAATAATACACAGTTCTTTTAAAAATGCGTGAATTAGCACAATCTGCAGTTTTAAATGGAAAAAATACAACATGACAGCAGCTCCAAAAGTACGAGTCTTAAAACAATTTTTGATCGGTTACAAAATGTTTTTATTTTTTTTATAAAGTTATAAAGATTTATTTATAATTTTAATTAATTTTTTACAAAATATATATATTTATTATTATTTCATTATTTTCTTCTAAAACTTTGCTTTCTTTTGTTTTTTTCAGAGCAACTTAAGAAGATAGGTCACAATGGTCTGCAGCTGTATGAATATATGCCACAAGTTTGAGAAAAACAGTATTATGTGATTATGATACACATTTAAATTCACAATGAAATAGTTAAAAACAACACACCACTTTCCATAGCCCCACAAAAAAGACTGTGAGATAAAATAATAGCCAATTAAAAAAAATTACAATTTCATTTTTACTAAAAGTTTATCGAGTTTTATTTTCATAAAATATAATAAGATCAATCTAGTACATATATTCTTAACATAAATTGTATGATAATTATTAATCTGCATTTTTACCTCACATATATAATCAAAATCAATTAAAAGATATTAATAACAGAGCATTTCACAGATTTGCATTATTAAGCATGAAAATTTTATTTATGATTACTAATCTGCAAAGCTTTTCTTACTGCTGTGTTATAAATTTTATAACACATAATCATTTTTAATAAATGCATGTAATTAACATTTAACAGATAGATCAACAACTCCCATTTTTTAAATGAAAAACACCTCTCAATTCTATTAGCACTTTCATTTACACATTCCAAGATTTTCAAATGCATTAAGTTCAATTTCAGCTTATAGCTCAATTTTTTCAGTTAATTACTTAATATCAATTATTTTCTAGTACAGACCACGTTCATAAGTCTTAATTTGATCCCACAGAATATAACAGTATAAGTTTCTTATAGACTTGAAAGCAGTGGAATCCCTTGAATAATGTAATATCAATCTTTTAATGCATAATAAAAGAATTATTATGTCTAAAAATATAAATAATAACCAATCTTTACACAATATCAAAACCTGGAAAATTTTCAATAAACTGGGAGGAGTGGAACATAAAAAAGTAACTATGATTTATAACAACAAAGGTTTTATTTTATAAAAACAGAAACATTTGCTTTTATAATGTAATTTCTTTTATTGCAGTAAATATTCAACCAACTGACATTTAATAATGTCTTTTGTGTCATTTTTCTAACCTTGGTTTCACAAACTGAAACTATAATTCAAACACAAACTGGAAAATGTAAGGGAATACTGATCTCTCAGGCAATCAATAAAACTATATTTTATAAATATAATCACAAATGATAAATTAAATAAATTATTTTTTTATTTTATGTTTGCTTTATTTGTTACAAGTAACTTATAAGAAAAATGATATAAATATATATGCTTTTCTTCTGAATTTAAAATCGTATTCTTTATAAAATATATCAAGAGTACAATTAAAATACATGACAGAAACATATCAAATTTACATTTCAAGAAGAAATGAGAAATAATTTTCTCTAAGGAATAAAACCATTGGGGACCTTTTCAGAGCGAAATATTGCTTCCAATTTAGCAAGAAATATGTCAAAGTATGTCTGAAAGCACACAGAACCTTTATTTGAAATCTTTTCAATTAGAAAAAAAATTAAGTCAAATTAAAAAAAGATTCTGCTTATTTTAACCCATCCTTTAACTAAAAATCTCAAAGTTTCCAATAATGTCATGAGAAAGAATTAATTATGATTCCTAAAAACCCTAGCTACCTTTAACATGGATTCTTTTTCTTTAAATATACAGCCTCAGCTGCTTGCAAAAATTTCCAAATGCATGTGTGCAAGATTAAGATGTTTATAAAAATATTTTTGGACATATATAAAAAGTTTGGCCAGTTGGAGGACATCAACAGAGTTGAAAGGAATTTTAATGCGATTGGCAGAAGGAAATCATTCTTTCTCTGGGGAAACAAAAAGATGCTAATTTAAAGAATATCAATGAATTAGTTGACTGTCAAGCCTACTGTTGATGCCAAGTTTAAAAGACTTTTTTAATTCTCAACACATAAATTTGCCTTTGCTGTTAAAAAAACTATTTTAGTCTATGAAAAATTTAACATATTTTTATGAAAATAAATAAAACAGACTTAACTTTATAAAGCTTACTTGAAAAGCAAGTACAGGACCATTAGATTAAACATATATATAAAATCAACAGTGTCATAACTTGTTAGATACTTATCACTACTTGTGCAAAATAAATAATAAAATAAAAAATATAATTGAAATGTGAATACTGAAAAAAAGAAAAATAATTAGTTTTATGGGCTTGCCAATAAAAATCATCAACATTAAAAATAATGATTTCTAATTCCTCTACTTTTTTATCTTTCTGGTTACTTTTCATGATTTTAATATAAGTGTATATCAATACTTTTAGAATAATTTATTATAGTATACATAACATTCAATATGCATGATTGATATGCATAAATATCATTAACACAAAATATTTATACAAGAGATGTAAAAAAAGTACTTTAATTCTTATTTCACATTTTTAGTAATATTTGATCTAAATTACCAAACTTTGAGTAGGGATTTAGAAATCATACTGCAGCAATTAATTAGGACTAAAGCAAATTTAAACACAAAATTCAATTAAAAGTGAAGTATTAAAAAAATGGTGAAAGAAATGCGTATGTATTCACTTATCAATATATAAATTGCAGCATTATTTTATGCTAAAAAATATATTATAAAAGAATATTTTAATTAACAGCTTTTAAACAAATTAATTTAAATTAACATATTGAAATTTTAAAAAATAAAAACATAATTAAAAACTTTCATCTCACAAATAAAACATTTTAATAGCATATTAATTACATAAAATTCAATCTCAAGTTTATTAATATCATCAATAAAGTGCTTTTTTCAAAAAAGTATAATGAAGAAAATAAGGATTTCTTTGTAAAATAAACAGAATAATGGAGGAGATTTAGAGAAAAAAACCTTATCAAAATGCCAGTCTAAAATATTTATTAATATTTAATCAAATTTTAATAGTATGCACATATATTACACATAGAATTTTCTTATGTCATTTATTTTTATTCAGGAGTAACAAAATAATTAGTTTATTATTTATGTTTTCACATATATATTTAAACAAAGGTTCCAATACAAAGTTAAGGACAAATTTTAAATGCACAATACAGTAGGCTATAGAGTAGACATATTAATTTGACTTCAAAATTAAGCACAAATAAAATAATGAGAACATTGCATTACATAAACGCATAATACATTTATTTTAAAGAAATATTTATACATAGGTAACAAGAAAGTAACTAATTAAAAGTTATTCTAAAAAATATTAAGAAATTTAATTAAAAAATATTAAGGAAACAAAAACAAACAAAAAAACCTACAATGCTGAAATTTGTCTGTTGCAAACAAGTACTTTCTGTATTTAAACAAATATATAGGTCTGACTCATGCAGACAAGAAGAAAAAGGAATGGAATTAGAGACTGGAAAAAAGCTGCATGTTCAGATTTCATCCTATAGTCTTTTTCTTTTGGTGACTTCTTCCATTCTCTTATTTTAGTTGAATGCTATAGATGTCAGAATTACAATGAACAAAAAGTTTGATATATAGTATATATATTTTTTAAACCTAAAATAAAACCAGATTTGCTCTTCGGCTACTATATGATAAAAGAGAACTGTAGTATCAAAAGCTAACAATTTATGCTTTCCCAGTCATATTCAGTTTTATATATAAAGTGATTTACCTTTTCCTTAGCATTCATATTGCTGCTACTTTCTTTTGTGTTAAGAGTTTTTTAGACTTCATTGTTTTTGTACTAAAGTCTGCCTGAAGATTACAAAATGTATAATATAATGATTGAAATATACTATAATATAATGATTATATATAATGATAGAAGATATAATGATTGAAAATTATTTAAATGGCAAAATAAAATTTTTTATTTTCAAATATATATTTACTTTAAGATACCTCATGTAATTATTGCAAGATTGTCACAATATGGAAACAAGAATTTTAACTATGCAATTTTAAATTATTTATAATTAATGTTAACTTTTTTGTAGCCATATTTTAATTTTTAAAAATAACACTAGGCAAAATAAGACTCTGAGTAAGGATACTTAATATTATAAAGAATTAAATTTTTAGTATTTCAATTCATTAACTTTTGAGCAAATAATTTTGTTACACGTGTAAAATTCCAGAAGTAAAATTAACAGATCTTTATATTATACAGTACAAAGTTCGACTGGAACCATTGGGACTTCAGTGATTCTTGATTTAAGATAATCAATTTATATACAGCAAGACTACATGCAGAAATTATAAAATTAAAAATATCAAAGGGCTTTTCGAGAAATAATAAAGTATTTATGATCTAAAGGAGACCAAATTACAAGAGCGAGTGGTAAAGTCAACATTTGTTTTGCTTCATTAAACATTTTTCATCAACATAAGTTAAGCAATTTCAATATACAGTCAAAAGTCTTTAATCCGGCTCGTCGGGACTTCTGCGATTCCAGATTATTGGTTTTTTCCAGGTTATAGATCATCAATTTAAATCTGGTAAGATGGCATGCAGAAATTATAAAATAAAAAATATGAAACTGTAATTTATGAAATAAAGAGCAATTATGATCTAAAGGGTATCAATATTTACAAAAAAAAAAAAAAAAAAAAAAGCTTCATATTTATTTGTTTACTTTATTAAACATTTCTTTCAATGGGTGCATGCATAAAGCACACATTATGCATAGTCGAAATTAGAAAATTACAACCAGAAAACTATTTGATATGTATTCGTGACATTTACAAAGATGAGGAATTTGATTTAAATCATATCAAAGACGA